TTCCCCGCAGCCTCCTGGCACGCTAGGGCTGGGTCTCTACTCCAGGACACGTGCACACACATTCAAACATGCTCCTTAAGAGGGGGTGGGGGGAGAGAGAGAGAGACCTACAGCTGATGTTCAAGAAAGGGGAAAGCTTCATCCCGGGGAGTTCTCCTTCTTGTAAGTGGGGCAAAAGCCTTACATCTAGGATCTCCAGGTTATGGGGCAGTGTTCATGCAAAGGGGAGGGTTTTCTGTTTTTAAATGGAGGCTTGTTGGTATCCAGAAATACTAACATAGCTGACGAAGCAACAAGCAGTGGGGTGGGGGGAAGGATAAAGGGTACAGGGCAAATATCAGGATTCCATACTTCCTGGAAGGCAAGAGAGTTTTTAGACAGAAGAGAATATTTGTCGTTCGGGGTTGAATTGTGGCGTCCTTGTTGTTCTCCAAGCTTGGTGATTTTTTTGCAGATGTTTCATTTTCAAACTAGGTAACATCATTAGTGCATTGATGAGGTTATCTAGTTTGGTAATGAAACATCTGGATGAAAACCACCAAGCTCAGAGAGCACAAAGGATCCCACAGAGGTTTTACAGGTTGACTTAAATGTAAGAACATCTAGAGGGGGGAGAGGCAATTTGTATTTAATGTTTTGGATCCACACACACACACACCCCAAGAGCTCCAGTTACTTTCTTTGGATTTGAATAATAGAGAAAAATATTTGCAGTGGTCTTAGATTCACTGACTAATACATCTGGATGAACAAAACAATTTCTGTCTTCATTTCACATAATGTGCTCAAACAATTAAAACTTTATGGCACAATGTGATGGCCTGGTGCACACCACAAGGTAAGATCATGGCTGGGTTGTCTTTCCGTGCTGGGTCACCAAACTCCATGGGGTTTTAGTGTGTTGTGAGAATCCAGCCTATGTCTTACAAGCCTATGTCTGAATGGAACATTCAGAAATACGGGGGGTTTCCAATTAACATTGAGCTAATTAAGTTAGAGAAAGTGAAGAATCATTATTGAGAAGAAACTTTACGGGAGGTAGGGAGGGCTGATGTAGCATCAAGTCTTAAAGTTTGTGGGGGACACTATACATTTATCAAATATAGGAATTAGAAATTCACTTGAAAGCCTGCATTATCTTGAACATTAGTTTAGTTGCATCACTTTTGCACCCTACTGATGATACTGAGGCAATCAAAACATTACTGATGTGCAAATCAACTGGAGCATCACTGGTCTAAGAATGACTCTAGCGCCTTGATGGAGAACCTATGGCAGGTGTGCCCGAAGTGGCACCCGGAGCCATGTTGTCTGGCATGCATGGCATTGCCCATTCCTCTTCCAGGTTTCTGGCACACATGTGCACACAATGTTCACCTGGGCTTGTGCGTGCGGCAGTGCTGGAAACTGGAAGAGCTGGTCTTCCTATTCCCAGCATGAGCATGATTGTTCCAGCTGATTGTTACACATGCATGTGCACCAGAATTCTCCAGTCAGCTATTCTGGGAATTGGAGGAATTCTGGGAAATGAAGTCCACACACAGCTTAAAGTTGTTGAGGTTAAAAAAACACTGCTCTAGAGCACAATTCTGGTGTTGCATATCCTCCAAGGAGTCCCAAACACAATGGATGGAATCAATTGATCCCCAGTAACTTGCACTCTTGATATTTTTCAGCATAACTGCAAGCACCACTTTCCCATCCAAAGCTCTGTAAACTTCCTCCAACTTCTCAACAATTACACTTCTAAATGGAAGCCAAAAAGCAATATTCAGGATAGCTTTCTAAATATTATCCAACTCAAACTTCTTATTATTCTGTTTTTTTAAAAATCCACACTCTCCACCTTTTTATTGGGAATCAGAACAAGTCTCAGTCAGAAATGAAGTTAAAAACAATAATATTACCACTGAGGTGGGGTTTGCACAATGCAGTGAATTTGGTTTACTGAATTAATCCATTTTCTAATGTTGTTGAACCATAAACTATTCAAACAGGCTGGACTTGTACAACGTGCTAATCCTTCCACCAAAACCCTAAACAAGGTTAAAAGTAACCAAACTTAGCATGTTGTGCAAATCTAGACAAAGAAATTGAAGTTTAGAAGTGATTGTTTTCAGCATGGGAGTTGAACACAATATCCACCTCAAACGTCTTAAACATCCCCAAAGACTATTAGACAGTTAAAGTAAAATAAAGTTGATTATATGCATTAATTCACAATGTTTTTACTGTTGGAAATTGTCTTAAATCTCCATCCCATTCCATGTACTTTTTAATATATCAATTTTATTAAAACATGGGATTTTCATCCATTGTCTCAATAGATGTAGCTCTAAGCTGTATAGACTTCATCTCCCAGAATTCCTTGCAATATCTATAATTAAAATTCAGTGGCTGGGAATTCTGGAAACTGAAGTCCACACATTGATGAAGATTACTGTGAACCTTTGATCAAGTTAGGATAGGCTTATTTACAGAACATTGCACCGTTAGTTGCCTTCAGATTATTCCATAAAATCTGTTTCCTGGTCCTCTTCACAATTCTCCACAACCACAAAGAAGCTTCAAACGTCTCTGAAATTCTAAAACTTCCAACAGGTAGAGAAAATAATTCCTATACAAATCAAGATGGGATTAAAAATAATGTTCCTTCCTAGGTGCATGGTGTGGGGTAGCAGTACACAATTCCTTGTGTATTGGTCTGTAGTGGCATGTGACAACTAGGGTAGGAATGAGAGGTTGGACTTCTGAACAGCCAGGAGAAGCCTGTCACTGCCCCCACAACCAGGAGGTGGGACTGAAAACTATTTGCAATTAGGAGGAGATGAAACTGATAGTTCTTGCCACAATTAGGGAGGAACACGAAACTGCCTTCCTTCCCCTCTCTAACCCACTGAGGATGCTAAAATAAAAAAATTTATCACCTCCACACCACTGCGAAGTCTGCAAAATACACCATGTTTCAAAAGAATAGTCTTTCTGCAGTTATCTAT